TTTTTGGAAATTTTCTAAAATTCTGTTCTGTCTAGTTGATTGTTGCATTGCAAGGATAATTAAACCCAACTGAATCTGTTTGACAAAGGAATTGAATAAATGTTGTTTCTAGCTTCTCATCTAACATATGTCTGTATTCTCCCAGTCGGTCACATTAATTTGTGAATGCCAGGATTTTCACATTTTTATAGGAATATTTAATTTAAAGCTCATACCTGTAGTGTGCTTAATAATGTATGTTATTGTGAATGTCATTACATCCACCACCCATAAAGTACTTTTATGTCATACTCAGAAGTGTTCAGTACTGTGTTTTCTAAAAGTAAAACAAGATTTTATCAGCAGAGAGTAAAGAAACTAGCATTAAGTGCTAAAAGTTTCTAGATTGGACTTGATTGCATCAAGAGTTTTATACTATGAATTTTGTAAAAAAGTTTTATAGAATATGTATGCATGGTAAAGTTTCTTTGTCTATGTTAAGATACAGGTTGCACTGGCAAGGAAACACTGGAAACTCATTATTATGCAGGTTCAAACTCTATCCTCCCATTCAGTATTGAAAGTTTGTCCAAACTTGAAAATTCAAGAATGAATCTATTGAAAGGAAAATAACTGAACACAAATTATAAATCTTTGGTGTCTACATGTATGGGTCAGTACTTTATTATTGTGGTGTATTTTTATGGTTTTTTTCAGATGCTCTCAGTTGATGGTCACATGACCTGTGGAAGAATCGTCATTGAAAAAAAGTTGGCTTGGCTTTGACTTTAGCTTAAGTTTAGTAAGTACAATTTGTGAAGTTATTAGCAATAATAACAGTACTATCTAGATGAGTAAGGAAGGTCTTCCATTGTTGTTTACACCCTAGAAGTTACATTAGTCATACAGATATTACTATTATATTTATGAAGGCAAAATACTTATAAAGATGTATTAGTAAGTATTTGACTAATTGCACTTACCAATAGTTTTTATGTAGGTTCTGAGTTGAAAACTAACAACTGTCTTAAAGTATATGCTGAATCGCTCATTCTAAGCAATTTATAAAAGCAGATAAGAACCTTGTTGATTTTTCTTTATAAGAAATGGAGGTGATCACAAATGTATTTTTACTTGTTACTTGTGGACAAATTTGTTTCTTATTTATCTCATAATAGGCAGAATCCACCTTTGATGTTTGGTGTATTGGTGTGAAAACCTATATTGATTCTGAGAAAAATGAAGCCTGACCTTCTGATATCATTTTACTTTTTAGAAATGGTTGTAGAAAAGTCTCTTAGAAGTTCTGGCAAGATTTTTATGTTATTCTTCTCTGAAACTGGAGTCTAAGTAATTTTGGTATTGATTTTCCATGCTAGGGTTCTCTAAAAGGTAGTAAATATTCATTCATTTATATGAATTGACCTAGTATTTCAGTTGTAGATATCAGAACATTTTTTGAATCCAAACAAAAGCAACATTACTTCAACCAATGTGCCTTATTTCCAAATTTGAATGAAATTGCCTAGGGATTATACAAACACACACACAAGTAGACATGGTTACTTTTTGTGTAATATAATATTTGATAGTTTGTACAAATGTTTACTGCAAGAGCTATAATTGTTGCTGATTATTTACTGTACACTGTGATGTTGGCATCCACAATAAATTGTACATAGTGGCATCTATCTGAAACATTTTCTTCATGGTCCTTTGTCCCAAAGCCTTATGTTTTGTGATGTGAGAATCTGTATAGGTTGTTTTGTAAACTTACAAGACTGCCAGTGTGTTTCGGGATGCTTGTTTTAACAGAACGATTTTATTCTATATATGTGTGATATTGGAATATATCTTAGGGTCCTTTCTTTCTTTAGTATTATTATTCATTTTCATTCTTAGATATGAATATTTGAATATGTGTCAGTTTTGCACATGAAATGGGCTCAAGGAAACTGTTAAGTCAATCTTGTTTCTGTGTCACCTTCCAAAAAGAGATACCTGTACTTCTTGCAGAGACATTGCTGACCTTGTTCAGGCCCCAAAAATGCAGAAAAAGGATAACCAGTGAAACGACAGGGCAATTGCACTGGATAAATGCAATGCTTCATTTTGAATGGAAAGCTTGCAGTTAATGAACCTGACAGATGATCCTGACAAAGAAACATCTGAAATAAAGCAATTATATACAGAGCACTTTTGATTTAATTTATCATAAAGATACATTTCATTGTGTGTTAGACATTGTGTTCCATCTGTTTATTATTCCTTAGCTTAATCTCAACTGGTATTAATTCAGCATTTTTCCGTGATAATCATATCTTTTTCAAACTTTTCATTTGGCATACTTATCCAGTGAAGCTTTAAGAATACCACAGAGCGTATAAGTGACAAAGAAATTTCAATAAACATATTTCCCTCCAGACTGACCCATATTTTTGGGAATGTTATTTTTTTTTAACATTATTTCTAAAATAGAGATTTGCTTGTTATTTATTACTTCGGTTGTTCATTAAAAATAATGTGTAACAGTCCTTTATACTAATCATTGTGTTACAATAGATCAGAATAATAAGAGCAACACTAAAGCTTATAGCTACAAAGCTGTCAGTTTCTAAAATTTACTCAAGAAAATTTATTTAAGTTTGTTGGATGTGAAATCTTTACTGTTTTAATCGTAGGTAACCTGAGCATTACTTAGTATGTGAGCATATACAAATTTTCACTTTGATGAGTGTAGCAATTCTTTCTAATGTGTCTTAATAAGACATGAACAGAATGTTTTTATCCATTTCATAATATGAAGCCTGCCCACAGCCATCACTTGAACTGAAATACCTTTCCAAACAGCAGTGTGAAATTACTTCTGAAGGTCTTTTTGTCTGATTACATAAATGAAAAAATCTCTGCATTTATTTCTACTGTCTAAACATATTTGATTTTTTTTTTTTAAATTACACATAAAGTATGTTTCTAGCATTGTATATCTGTTTCTCAATGAGCTTTCAATCTTAGCAACCTTAAGAATATGATTAATGTTTTTTCTTAAAAATAGGACTCTTAAAGTTATGTTATTGGCTTCAGCAGTACTATTGGGGCATGGGTTGCCTTGTTGATGAGCTTTGGATTCCAGAGCTGGTGAGCCAGGTTCCAATCCATATGATATCACAAAATATTCTACATATACTTTAGGTGTGTTATAAGAGTGACAGCCAATCCCTTAACATCGGTGGTAGGGTGCTGTTGACTGGCTGCCTTCCCTATGGTTAGTAGTTCAAAATTAGAGACAGCGTCAGATAGCTTTAGTAACATTGCTATAAATGCAAAAGCAGTACTACCCTGTCCCTATGAAAATAAATCTGTGATTTCAGCAATATCTGTATGTAAATGTTATCTTTACAGTATGAACTTGACATGGTTATGCATATTAGGTTGTGTTGTATTTAAAATACAAACAAATAATGTAATGTTCTCTGTAAAGCTAACATACACACATACATATCCAAAAATTTCACATTTAATGTAAAATTTAAGTCTTCAGATTAATCTATAAATATACAATAAAAATAAAATATATTTATCATGATGTTAATTTATTAATATTTATTATTCTCTTGGAAAATACCATAAAATATTTTTTCCTATTGTGAATTTTAATGGAAATAAATATTAATAAGCATAATATGCTAGTATAATAATTCCAGTAAGCATGTAGCAACTTATATAAATGAATGTAAAAAATAGACCATGTTTTTGGAACAAAATATTAGCTAATTAGTTATTTATTTAATATACATGATATTGTAAATTGTGGCATATTTGGATCAAAATGATCTTTCTTTGGGTGATGGGGTAGGTCCGCTGAAATTCAGCAAAATGTCTGTTCTGCAGAAGCTCTAAATTGCTCTGAATAACTGAGTTTGTAAGAATGAAATAAAAAGACTGGATACATTGTAAAATACAAATGAACAATCTTTATTATAGCATAAACACAAAATATTACTTGCTTGGTTGAAAGATGATCACTTCTGCTGGATAGTAAGCTGTTTTCTTCTTAAGTTGTTTTGATCAAATCTAATACCAGACTGTTTAAATTTAATCTTTCTTACTTAACAAATAACATCATATTTACCCAGAATGATCAGAGCTACCCATGTTTTTATTCAAATGTAAGGGAGATTCTAACTTCAATATATCACCAGACCTAATCTTAGATGACACTGCTGTTGACATCCTTGCACAACATACAATGTTACAGCCCAACCCCATGGGCAGACCAGGTGTTACCTCAGGAGAATGACAAAGGAACAAAGGCAGTAAGAACAAAAATCCATGTAATGACTTTGTTTACCATGTGTTATGTGAAAACTGAGCATACCAGAGTAACTAGTAATTTAGAAAAATACTATATGAATATAAGGATGTAGAAAATGCATTTTACACTACTATGGCTGTCTTGGTTGAGGAAAGGTGGATATTACAATATTTAGATACTGTCAGTGGAAAAGATTAATTTTGAAAAACTGGTATTATATTTTTGTTAATAAGTTAGGTTTATTATTGAAAAGTGTAGCTCACATACTTTTGTTAGAGTTTATTTTCTATGTTGACATTTCATTATGTGTAAATAGTAATGTAAACTACACATTTTGCACTAAATATATAATGAATTCTAGTCACATGCAAATTAGTAAAGAAAAAGTTCAGAAAATCTTTTTAAAATGTTGTGTATTCTATTCAAACTTAAATTATATATTTTTATCATTGTCCATTTTGTATAAAAACTTTGTATTTTTGGCACAAGTTGAGTTTTCTTTCCAACATTCACACACACACACACACACACACTGTCTCTCATAAACATTCAATGACACAACCCAAAAAATCATTAAAGTTGATATCTCATTATTAGTAAGAAACATGTACTTGGACATTAACCAATCAGCATGCCTCCCCTTCCTGTTTCACTTCTGATCATTTCCTGTTAGTAATAGAAGGGAATTGATCAAGACAATCAACTTCCAGCTCTAAGTTTAATGTGTGAAAGTAAAGGAAACCAACTCAGAAACATAAACAATCTAACTTAAAGAATACGATTGAGTGCTTCTAAACGGTATGTAGTATCTATTTTCTTTTCCTGTTTTTATTAATCCAAGAAAAATATTATGTTTACCTACTTCTGAAACATTATGAATTTTTGTTTAGATGTAATAAGATTCCTCGTATAATTCAATTATATATATATGTGTTGTCTACATGTTCATAACTAGTGTTATTGAAACAAATTTAAGTTACTAGGCAAACCCATTTAACATTATTTTGAAGGAATGGAAAAAAGAATTGATACTACATTAACTTTCTCAAATTTGTCATAGCTACTTGTCTAATGTATAAACATTATTTTCTTCCTAAGATTACCTTTTCTATTCTTTGTCTTTATAATGTAGTGATTACTCAGTATTATGCTTATTGTTTACTTGAAACTGTTCATTTCCATCTTAAAACACATAGACTATACACATTTCATATTGCTAGATCCATTGTTATTTTTATTGTATATTAAAAAAAGAAGCATAATTTTCACTGTTATTCTCATTTCTACAGTATTTGTTTTATAATTTGAATACAACTATTCAGGAAGTGTAGAGAAAAGTTTAACATTTGAGTGCACAGACAGATCAGGATACATGTGCTTTTTAGACTGTTTCTTTAAAACTGCTAAGATCATTCATTTAATACTAATAGTATTTCGTTTGTATTTATACATATACTAGCATAAATACATATTTCTAAAGACAACTAATTTAATTGTTCACCAAAAAGAGAAGATTTTGAAGTTTTTTACTTTGATCGAATACACTTCAGTAATAATACAGTTGTTTGTTTTTGTAAAATATTTTTCAGCAAATCCGTTAAGTCAGTGAACCAGTTTTGTAAGAGCTTGGTTTTTGCACTTGATCAGCAGATGGCATTAGGATGGATTCAGTGCTTCTTGTTTCTTTGGGTGATTTTAGTTGCATTACTAGCCAACTTGACATTGGCTAGTTTTGGATTTCTACCCGTGTCTTCTCCATTTTTTTTTATGTGTCAGTACCATGGAAACACAGATCAATCAGGGATAGCTGAAGGTGATGTAGCTCTTTCTGTCAAAATATCAGGAAATCCAGAATTTTATGAACCCAGTAAAGTATATGAAGGTAAGAAAGTAAATTAAATATTAGATGTAAATGTAATGTTATAAAAATTCCAAACATGAGTGAAAAAACCCCAGTTTCTTATTTGGAGTGCTTGTCAGTATTTTGCTTTAAATTCACTGTTATATATCAAATATTGGGGGGACTAAAATCTTGTTAAGGCTTAACTGTGTAATGAAGCTAATAATGTTTAATATTTATTTTATTTCCATCATTTTACCATACTTTCTGTTAGAGTTTCAGCACAGAAAGTTAAATTCGGTTTCTTTACCTCAAAAACATGATATGGTGATCAACATTAATATTTTCTGTAGCCATATTAATTAAATTGTCCACATTTAAGCAGAAGTGGTGTTAGTGGTCTGGATATCTGACAATGCAGTCAATGAAATCAAGAGAGAGATGATCTGGATTGACATATGTTATCATGTAATGTGCCTTTTTTTCATTTGCTGTGAAGGGTAAGCAATGCATATGGTCAGCGATTTCCAAACATTCAAGCTTCATGCAAAATGTTTAAAGTGGTTAAGCATAATGTTTAATGATCCAGCACAATAACACTTTGAGAATTAAAATGGTAATCAAAGAAATACAAATTTTAAAGTGAATTTGACTGCTAACAAGCTTGAAGTACAGGTTTGAACCCAAGTATAAAGCACTTAGTTCAGAATTATCACAGTTTTGATTTTTGGCAATGGCCAAATGATGTATTAAGTGAGAGAAAAAATATTGATTCCTAAGTATTAGCATTCAATAGCTGATGCAGTAAGTAGTTTCAACTGCACAGATACACGGTGAATTATTACTTTTAATGTTCTTTATGAACAGAAAAACAATGTTACAAACAATGATAAGGTTTTATCTTTTCAAGGATTTTTATATTTGACAAAGTAAAAAAAAATCTTCATAAAATATTTCTCATTATTCTCATTTATTCTTAATTTGTTTGTAACATTATTTTTATTCAAAGAAATAAAACTGATATTAACAAGTGACAATTAATTTTATAGAAAGAATCTTTTGTGTTTAAACATTTATCTATGTAATGTAGAAATGTGTTTTTTGCAGTGTTAAATATTTTTGTTAATGGCTAGCATTGAAGGAATTTTTACTGAATGAACTATGTGTTTCCTACTAAAATATTATGAAAAAAATTAAGGCTTCAGGAAATTAGCCTTTTCCATTATATTGGCCATTTCCTGTCAGACAACAAGGAGACTGAACCCCAAACGGAACTATTGGAAGGGTGATAATGGTGTTTTTCAGATGTTGTAGACATCACGGAGCCATTTTTTATCCATCGGTTAATTTGATTATAATAAATCTGAAATACTGAAAAATAAAAAATGGAAATGAATATATCATTAGAGATCAAGAAGGAAAACACAAGTTTGCCCATCTATTAGGTTTTTAGAATATGTATAGATTCAGGTTTATGACAGAGGTTTAAAATATATAAAATATATGTTTTATGGCTATTATGTTGAATCTTTTTCACATAAAATTAGATAAATGAGTGATAAAATTATGATTTATGATAAGTACTCTAATATCATAATAACTAGTTTTGAACATGCTCTTTGGAAATTAAGAGTTTCAGCTCTTTAGGTTAAAAAAGTTGTTGCTCGAACTTTAAAAATTATGGCCCCATTACTTTAAGTTTTCATTGTAAGAGAAATACTTTGTTCTTTTTATTCAGCTTACAGAGGAACATTGAAAAGTGTTTTCCACCTTATTGTAAGTCACAAATGTGTGTGTTTACAAAGTGAAGCCAAAGTGATTGGGCCAGGATTGTTTCTTGTAATGCTTTTGTTCACACTAATGGTGAACCCATGGTGTTTCTTCCCCATCTAAGGTAATTTATTCTGAGGTGTTTGCCACTTTGGTTTAATTTTCCTTTGCTACCAAAGCTCCTTTTCAAGCTACCATCAGAGCTATATTTGAAAAACTAGCAGAACATACAAAATTCTGTAAAATAACATCATGAATATTAATTTCATTGAATGACCAGTGCATTCATGTCTTTGTTCCAGTTACTTTAACTTAGGATATAAGTTCTACACACTTACAAGAGGAAATGCTCATGGATTCACCTTTGTTACTTGTGTCTGTCAATTCTGTTTGAAATGAAGGCAGAACAGGAAATCCCTTGCTACATTCCTTTGGCCTGAGTAAGTAGTCAGAATGGTTGTAACCTAGCAAAAGGTAAAAAACAATGTTTCTAAACTCATCTAAGAGTTGAATGGGTAGAACAAAGGTAAATATTTTGCAATAGAAATTGATAGCATGAGTAATACCCTTTAGCAAACACTCACGAACATCGTTTCATCAGTTAAGTCAGGAAACTAAATAAGAAGTTATAATATTATAAGACTCTCATTTTAACTCTAAATAAAAATAACAAGCCGTGTGAAAAATAATGGAGTAACTGTTTCTAATCTGACAATCCATAGTTGATATGTAAACCACCATATGTGATAGAATTTAGTAAAAATTATTGTGTACAAATTCTCCTTACAAAGTTGATTTACAAATACTACCAATATATCAAAAGAATATAATGTACAAAGTGGCCCGTGTCTGTAACCTGGCATATATGGGTGCAACAGAATGCTTGCTATATGTACAATCTAAAGAATATGGAATACTGTTCTTAGTAAAGGGTCAACATTCTGTAACACTTTGTCTAAAATGTGAAGAAATTATGAACAGAAGAATAAGTAAAGATAATTTGTTTAACCCATTCACTGTGGCTGGGATGTATATTTCCCAGTGCACTGGGAAATGTACATCCCAGCTGCAGTGAAAGGGTTAAAACTATAGAAACTTGCTTCTGGAAATGAAAGATGTGGTCTGGCTAATAAGCTTAGCAGAGGCTGTGACTGAGACTAATGCCTGTTTGGAAAGACTTTCTTTATTCGTTTTAAGGATTTAATCTACATCCCCCACCTTTTAAAGTTTATTTTTTTTGTATTTGTCAGAAAAGATCTATCTCTTGACATCAGAGATAAATATATTTCACTTTGGGGGTAAATTGCAGAATACAACTCTCAACTTAAATCCTCCTGATTAGGAATTTTGAACTTGAAAGTATATAATGGACTTGATGTATTTTTAAATTTTTTAAAAGTATTTATTTTATGTTCTAGCAATTAAGTTGACTTACTAATTTCATTGAGTTTTTCCATTTGACATATGAGTATATATCAATATTTCTTTATTTTTTCCAACTGTTTTACAATGTTTTCATATACTTTCTGTATCTTAAGTGAATAAATCATAATTTACTTCTATTACATCATTTAGAATTTTGTTTGTAGATTTAAATTTTAGTTGTCATTAGATAATAATAAATATGTTATATATTTTTTATAAATGTGTGTTTTAGTAATTTACATAACTAGATCAAACTCTTATTTTGGTACTATTTTCATAATATGACACTATTTTTTCAAAACATGTCCTGCACTGTTGCATGTGAAATATTGGATTTTTTATATGAGTTGATGTTCTTCAAGATTACTGCACATTGTGTCTGTAAAATTTTGTTTCATAAGGAAGCTTTTTTATTGTATATTTGCAGTTTTATTCCAATGTCACATTTCAACTTCATAATTTTATTACATTTTCTTTCACTTCATAAAGTAGTATTGTTTTAACAATATGTTGCAAGATATTGCAGACATGTTTTATGTGTTGTTTACTAAATTTAATTCATTGTATATATTTTGTGTAATCTGTGAAGAATATTAAAGGCTAGCTTCAATAAATCTGGTACACTATATCACTGAGTTAAGATCTGTGTCATAAAGTATTTTTTAATTAATTTGTTATCCAGTAAGAAGTTTGATTAATACCATGGAGGCTAATTTATTATTTGTTTTTGGTTTAGTGTTGTTCTCTAGTTCATTAAGCTTAAAGTTTTGTCAACACCATACATGTTAGATTACTTTTGTTTTGTGTATTTTGATGGGCATATCATGTATTAGGTTATTTGGTGAATCTTACATGTGTGACAACACTTTTTTCCTATTTGGTTTAGTGACTGTTTCATCCAGTGCAAACTTTGATGGCTTTTTGATGACTGGTATCTACACCCTTCCTGAAGAAGCTGCCAAAAAAACTTCTCCACTTCTTAAGACTATGGGAATGGGTCCTCAGTACCCACATGCAGTAGGAGAAAGCATGATATGTTCTATTGTTCACTCCCATTTATCTCACCGGCCATCTAAGTCTATTTCCTTTCACTGGATGGCACCACCAACTGGAACAGGCTGTGTTAACTTTATGTATGTAATGTACTGAAAATAATTACCTGTAGTGTTTTATTGCATTGAAAGTATGAAGTCTTAAACAGGTTGTCTGTTAATAGTAAGTTATCGATAAAAAAAAACACAACACAATCAGGGTTATTCATTATTGGACCCCCCCCCCCCCCAAAAAAAATTATGCTACTGAAAAATTTGTCAGAAAAAAGATTTTTAAAGTCTAAAAAAATAGTCAGCATCTGTATAACTATTTCTTTATATTATATGTTGTATTTTAGTATTACAAATACATTTATAATTGTTTTAGATTTATCAAAAACTCGCATTTTTATTTATAGTTTCTCAAAATGTAGTATGCAGATATTGGTAGGATTTTTTATTTAGTAGTACAATATACAGGATTCTACAAAAAAACTTTTTTGCTCTATTTTCACCTTGTGCCAGAAGCATAGATATTTTATTGCATTAACAGTGTTGGTTTATGGAGCTTTTTTCTTATAGTATTATTAATTTATATATAAAACAAAGTTTTTTGATAACATATTCTTTCTATTTTACAGTGTGTGCAATTTTAAACTGTCAGAATTTCTTAATTAAAGTTATTTGTAGTTGTTACGAGTAAGGTAAACTAACTGTCGACCCCAACTTGTTTATTGAAGGGTACATGTAGTAAATATTTTGGCAATGGATTATTGAGTAAGTGTTTTGCAATTTTAAGAACTTGAAAGAATAGGAAACCACATCTTTTTTTATGACATTTTGGTATAAAATAATATCCTCCTGTGAATCAACAGTACGTTTCTAGACTTACAAAACAAAAATTAGGGGTTCAATATCCCTAAGTAGACAGAGCAAACTGTGTAGCTTTGCATCAAGAATAACAACAACAATGTAAAATATATATATATATATTTGACAAATTGGAATTTTCATCAAATCGAAAGTTAAATCTCATCAGCTCTTTAAGTTTCTAATGTTGTTGTTTTTTAATTTTTTGAAATGAAATATCTTTTGGAAAAATGATGACCTAGGTTTTTATTGGAGCAAGCATCTTAAATTCATTTGATATACAAGTTCAGCAGCAGCTTTAGGAAAATTTAAGCAGTTTTGTAAAGCTATGAAAAAATGTTCTAAATAACATAATTTTTCTAATAACATTTTCTAACTTTTTCTCTTTAGTAAATTTGTCAAATTGATTGTTTGTGAAAGATGTTTTTAATTTTAAATATACTGTTTTTTTCTAGGGCAACAGCTACTTTAGGGCAGAATGTTATGTTTAAAGATATATTAGCCTTGCAGATATGTGAAAAAGGAGGTAAGAATAAACTAATGGTATTAATTAACTGTAATAAATTAAAGGTTCATAGCACAACTAATAAAGCATACAATACATTTCTGTGTTTTGCTTTTTCTCTCCTTACTTAATTGTTGTCATTTCTAATGACCCATAATTCTTTCTTATTAGAAATGAAACTTCTGAATATTTTTAAGAGGATGTGTTTTCATTTTACAAGTCATTCCCTTTTATAATGAAACATATATATTCACTAAGCTAGAAAATAATAATTTACACAAGTTCTTTATGAAAGACGTTGAGTAATTTGCTATTTGATGCATTATGGTATATCCAAAATTATCCTGATTTATGTAATTTTAATGTGCAGAGTTGATTTCATGTAATTATGGTTAATTCGTTTAATTACAAAATATCTTAATATCGGTATCCTTAATTGTAAACAAACTGAAGGATTATCTTTCTGTTTTAAATACCTGAAGAGAAGCAGTTTCACTTACAACTTCTACAGAAGAAGAGAAGCATTTGAAAATTCTTAAAATGAGGGCTGTATCAATGAATTAAATATTTATATATTTCTCTATATAACGTTTGTTTATGTACACTATATTGTATATCTGTCAGTCTATATTTCTGTTTGTCTATCTATTCATATATATATATGTATATATACTTGTTCATTTAAGAAATGTTTGCATTTAAGTGGATCATTAGATCTTGGATCTCCTTGTAAGAGATCACCTAAATATGTTTGTTGATCAATTTTTATTACCTGTAGTGATTGTATCATTTATAATATTAGAAGGTGAAAAGATACAGCCTCGAAAACTGGCTGCTCTTCATAAACCAGGCATTGTGTTAAGAGAAGATTTTGAATCTACAGACATTGATTTAAATCCTAATCACTGGTCAGATGTGTCCAGTGTAGAGGTTGGTGAGCACTGTGGTACGATACTACATGGAAAAGCAGCAACATTCTGTCAACCAAGCAAAGAGAGAAAAATGGTGTGTGTGTTTTATGTACACAAAAATGTTCTTTTTTTAAGAACTAAATATCTGTAGTCTGCTTGAATGAAATCTTCCAAATATTCATAAGTGTTTTTAAAGAACTATCATAACTAAGCAGCTTTCACAAGATTACTTGGTTTATTATAGATGTAAGTTAGTAACCAGTCATTTACCATATCAGAAGTACTGTGTACATACCTTTATGTTTAGTGAAAATGAGGTAGCATTCAGGTGTTAAAATAAACGAGAAAAAATTTTACTTTTAAACTATATTTTTACTGCTTTATCAGCAGATTTTTAGCATCCTTTTTATTATTGCAGGCTGTTAATTTACCTAGCGAACTCTTAAGAAGCCAGGCTTTAGTTTTTTTTGTTTTATTTTATTACATAGACAGCTGATGTGTTTGGGCTCAGCTGTTAGAAAGTGTAATTAATTACTTTAGGGAGCATTTTGAAATGGCAGTTTATGTATGTATGTATATATATATATATATATATTATTTTTATGTACAGATCACTGTTGGATTAAACACAACTACTGCAACAACTCTGCAGTTTTCATTAGGTATGTAAAGTGTGTGTCATGATTGCTTGAAGCTTCTTTATGATAACCTCTGCTCTTGCTTTTCAAAAGTACCAAATAGTTTGATAAAACATTCCACATCTAAGAGTGTGTCTGTGGGAAAGGATGAAAAATGAAAAATGTTCTTGATATTTTAAGGTTTCATTTGCATTAGAGAGGAAGTAACTTATTTCTATGTAACATTAGATAAAGCTTACTGTATCATGGGTGCTTTTAAATTCATTTGATCAGAGCAAGATGTGTTTTTAGGTAAATGAACTCATTTTCATTTTTGTTTATACATTTTAATGAAAACTATTAACATGTCATCCAATAGTCCAATATTGGGTTAAAGGATAATAATAATAAAATATGAAGAAATAAAAAAAAATTGTGGTGAAAAAACATTGCTATTGCATAAATTTATGTCCTTTTAATGCTATTAGTCATTAGCTTGATTGCTCTTGAAAAAAACTAAATTTCTTAAAGACACTAAAAAACAGGTAATTGTGTAGTGAATTTATCTGCTTGATTCTAGCAAAGGAAAGGGGTGTGGCTGCATGATTAAGGCTGAGCTGCTCTTGCCTCTTAACTTCTTTAGACTAGCACAGCATACTTCTTCACATGTAGCAAGAATATGAGACAAATTTGAAAGTATGTTAGGCCTGCATGCAGAATATTTAAAAGGGGGGTGGTGGTCTAATTTGTGAGATAAAAGGCCAACACATGTTGTGTGAAGCACAATCAGCATGCAAAGCATGCTAATGCTATGGGGGTGTGGGGGCATGTGACTATTTCAAGCCAAAAAATGGTAATGCTTCATCAGAAGAATGTAGACTATGTAGAAAACTTTAAATACCATAAGCAGCTGTGCTATAACTATATAAGCATAATTTGTTTACACCACAAAAATAGGGGGTTTG